AGGCGTCCTGCTGGAGGTATTAAAGTGATAAGAGGATATCCTCGATGCAAAACGGGTACAAAGGGGTCGTTAACACGGCTGAACAACCCTAAAGTAAGGACCACCTATTTTACATTTAGCGACAGTATCTATGGGCAAATATTTGCTCTATCGAATACATGTATGTGAGATGTTTCATTCTCTTTCGTTTAAGGTCAATTCTCCCACAATGTTTCCACTGGATTTCACATAGCCTTGCCTTCCCATGAGGGTGATCTCATTCAGGGTGGACCTCAGTTTCGCGGCACTTTCATGGTTCGACTCCCGTCGGGGTTGTTTACAAAGCCCATGCTAGGTTGAAACTGCAGTTCATCTTGCATGTGAACACGTTTTGGGAAAGCAAGGCTGTAAAATTGATCGTTGTGGGAAAAATTAAGCAACACAATTCATATATTTGATTGTACTCATGGACAGACGAGAAGAGGAATTCGAAAAGTCACTGGTGCAACCAAAAGTGCTTATATGCGAAAAGTAGACGACCATTTTGCACTTGGGTCTCATGGAATGAATTTCTCAACTTAATGATTGAATTAAATTTGCAATGAAAGTGGAGGATGGATATTGTGGTCATTCGCCCCAACGGGATACTTAATTTCTTAATTTTCAATCTGATCACAGCTATAGACTAAAGATCTGAATAGTGAGGAGTTTGACAATTAGAACCTTAGGACAAACGGACAGTGAGATATGGGGCGAAGATTTGAGCAATTTGGGGGTGTCCCAGATAATTTACAGAAAGAAATATAGTTCTCATAGAGCCGATTTTAACTCGTAATTTATGTAAATAAGATCACGGTTCAAGAGGATGAGCAAAAGTAGATGTATGCCCTTCTGTGAGCTGAGTCGAAAATTGTGAACATTATTGAGAAACTGGAACATCAAGGAGAGTACAACAGTTTTCACCAGTCTGCCGACGCAACACAAAAACGTTGACAACCTCGATTGTTCGGGAGTTTATCGCATCAAGTGCGGCAGCTGTGGGCAGAAGTGTATTGGTGAGAAAAAGAAGAAAAACCAACTTACGAATCAAGGAACCCCAAGGATGCAATAGAAACATGGATACGAAAAGATCGGAGACAGCAGAACACAATGCATAGAAATGACATGAAATCGACTGTAAATGTACAGAAAGGCCGGCTGCATGTAATGAAAGTACGATAAAACACAAGATCCGAGAGACCATCAATATAGTGACCGAAATAAAGGAAACAGGATCAACGAAAACTTTGCATATTGCCTTAGCAAACTCGGAGATCAGCAAAAAAAAATACTACTGGATGAAGATGACATCTTTCATTTTGGGATGAGACATTAAAAGTAGACCAGAAAGGAACAATCGGAAACCAAGAGGAGACATACACATCGAGCCTATTCAAATAGACTAGAATTACAAAACTTGGAGGTTGACAATTCATAGTTGGCTATAAATAGACGTAATTCATTAAATAAAAGATTAACATGCCGCGGAGTGATAAGGGAATCTGCACTGTCAAATTAGGTTGCCATGCCAATTGAGAATGATGCTGATGCACGCGTGCGATGAAAGAGATGAGGCAGAGTTTAGAACATAACGCCTCGAGTGGTACAGATTCGGTGAAATCCCTCAACCAAGAAGAAACGAGCATGTGGGCGACACTGATGGGGCGTGAAGAAAGTGGATTAGAAATAAAAATGCAAATTCATACCATAAGTCGGAACCAGATTTAGATAAACAAGTAAGAAATTGTGATGGTGAAGATGTCATACGATGATATGGTATAGACGAATAGCACAGGACAGAAGAGATACCATAATTTAGCAGATAATTGGCCGAAGGAGCGATTCCACATGTATCTCTGAGGAGTTGTAATGTGATGTTAATGGCAATACTCACTGGCAAAACGTTTGGGAATGTACCAGTTACACGGTCCATGCATGCTATGAAATTCACATGATCAAGTTGCGAAAATAAGGTCCAACGTATAGACAACGTCCTTTATCTTAGATTATCTTCTTTAATCATACTTTAATGACACCATTCTGGGATGCATGGAACCCTTTTTTCTTGATATGGACGCTGACATGATATATCACAAGATTAAGCTAGATTCATTGGGGAGGATAAAGAAAGGATTATGAATGGAGGTGAAAAGAGAAAAGTGCTTCGACCAATGCCAAACATCAATAATGTATTGGGTCAAGATTGAAAGTGCATTGGATAAATGCATTTGTAAAAATGGTTTCGAAGAGTAAACCACTAAGGGCGGTGAGCTTCAACCGGAAATGCAACTTGGACTGAATTCCCTAGGACAGGAAACTAAGCTAATCGTAGAATTTATTTATTTATTTATATGTAAATATTCATCCAGATTTATAACCTATTAGCAGCTGCCTTAAAAACTAGTTAAAGGCATGCATTTTGGTTTGCAGATCAAATGATTGTTTCAATAAAAGAAAAGCATTTCTTGCCTACCCACTTTATCAATCATGGCAGAAGTACAGATTAATAATTAGCAGCTTAAGATGAAGTCATTTGAGCGATCAAAACCAACTGTGCATCGAGAGACGCAGTGACAGAAGTGCTTCTTTTTCTCGAATGAAAATCACATATTTTGGCGAGAAAAGTGTCTTAGATTTTATTACATTTTATAGTTGGTAATTC